AGAGTGATTTGCACAGCCTGAACATGTTATCAATATAATGCATCTGTGCTGGTGGTTGTTATAGTGTCACTTGATCCTTTAGCACATCACTAGTCACCTATTCAGAGCTCCAACCTGCTATTGTTTGCTTTGGTTTTTGGTAAATAAGACACATCCTCCATTTCTCCATGACTGGCCTTACAGTGTAATGAGAGGTGCTGCAGAACTTGGTCTTGGTATTGTAACTCTAATCTCTTCACCATCATTCAAAATTACCCGCAGGCACACCTTGCAGTTATAAATTTCTATCCACAAATGAACTGAGTTGCGTTATATTTGTTCCAGGAAGACATGTCCTTTTTGATTTATGCTTGTACACGTCCCTATGGTTGCCCACCAGTTCCTGAAAGCCCCTCACATTACTTTTGTAAAGTAGTGTGGCAAAGTGGACTTCCCACCTAGCCACAGTGCTAGATTCCCCACTTGCTTTTGGGCATGCCACCCACTTGACTCATCTGCCATGCCTTGTTCTTAATTAATTAATTGTTGTTAATTAAGGCAGGAGGCTGCCCATTCGTGCCCTGATGCCAGGGGGTGCCATCTGTGGCTCCGTACCTCCCCTACACTGCAGGGGATGTCTCGCAGATGGCATCCAGCTGTTGATCTCACCAGCCCCACACAGGGCCTCAGAATTCTTCACTCAAGGACCCCTCTAAGATCCCTCCATTCCGGCAGCCTACCCCGCCTTCATTTGGGCTGCCTAGCTCCCTGAGGCCATTTCCCCTCTCAGGCATGGTCCCCCCGGGAACTTCGGCCACACAAGCCCTGGCCTCACCTCCAAGGCCAGTCGGGACCCCAGGCCCTCAGCTCTGGGCATCCCTCGTGGTGGGTCCCTGGCTCTTTTGACCATTCTGGTCCTGACCCCAGCATTGACCAGTTGAGGGTACTCTACATCAGACCTCTGAGCCTCCAGCCCCACTCTCGCTCCTGGGATCTGCCTTCTGGCCCTACTAGGGGGTGACCAACCTGGTTGTGGGAGCTTGGGTGACTCACACAACAACTGGTGTTCCAGGGTCTCACAGGGACTCTCACTCCCCCCTGGAGCAGCAGGTCATTGTGCTCGCTATAGATCTTGTCTTTGACCCACACTCAGCCTCCCAGCAGTGGAGGACTTACCAGGGTCAGGACTCACCCTTCTCTCTTGGGGTGAGCCCCCTTTGCTCAGCCTCTAGCCCAAACTTCAGCCTCAGGCATCTAGAGACATACCTTGGCCTACTCCCCTCACTCAGGGCTCCACACCACCCCCTCACTTGGGGGTCCAGATCTCCACCCCCTTACTTGGGGCCACACCCTCACTGGGGTCCTCATTTCCACCCCCCCTCATTGGAGCTCCACACCTCCCCCTCACTGGGGCTCCTCATCTCTGCCCCCTCACTCAGGGCTCCACACCACCCCCTCACTTGGGGCCACAGGGCTTCCCTCCCCAGTGGGCTAAGGTGGCTGCAGTTGTGCCTGGCCCCCACTCTGCCCCCTCAGGGTCTTGCACCCCACAGGGCTCAGGTGGCCATAGCTGTGCCTGGCCCCCACTCTCCCTCCTTGGGGGGTCTTTCAGGTTCTTGCACCCCACAGGGCTCAGGTGGCCTCAGCCATGCCTGGCCCCCACTCTCCCTCCTCAGGGTCTCTCAGGGTCTCTCACCCTGCAGGGCTCAAGTGGCTTCAGCCATGCCTGGCTCCCACCTACCTCCGGTGTTACTTAACCCACCCGAAGGTGAGGGCTAGTGTTAAAGTGTCCCTACCCGCCTTTCACTGGGGTGGTAACTGGCTTGGCATTTCCTGGGGGCTCCCGCACCACTGAGAGCCCCACCAGGCCACCCACTCCCAGCAGGGTGCAGTTTTAGGTCATGCCCAGGACCAGGAGCCTCCCAGCTGTCCCCTACAGCTCCTCCCTTACCTCCAGGATAGTATGGAGCCTCACAGCCAGGAAACGTTGCTGCCTGGCTGCCAGCAGCGAACTGCCCTCTTTATATGGGCAGCCAGAGCTCTAAAATGGCTACCGCAATTAAGCACCTGCTGCCTACTTAGCCCCAGTCTTAAAGTAGCAGGCACCAACAGTGCCCTGCCACATACCTCCCCCTTTAAATGGTAATGGGGGATGTTTCCCCTACTGCTCCTCCAAGCAGGCTCCCCTCAGAGCTTGTGAGAGCCCTAAAGCGGCGAGCACCTCAAAGGTGCTCCGCCACACACCTCCTCACTTTGAATGAGATCTAGGGGGCTTCACCTGGCTGCCTTCCCTGCTGGGCTCTGCCCCAGCCTACTGCAGCCCCTGCCACATGGCGAGCACCCCAAAGGTGCTCCGCCACAAGTAGGCAATAATTATCTCCATTTTATAGACTGGGACACTGAGGCACAGGTAAGGCCCAGCATCACTGAGGAAGCTTATGGAAGAGTGGAGACTAAAACAGCTCTTCTAACTCCTACTACTGTGCCTGAACCAAGTGATTCTTCTTCCCTTCTTTTCACCAGAAAATTGCAAGATATGGTGCTGTCCATCTCAGCACAGATGAGACCCAGCTCTGTATGGATATACAATTTGCTGCATGGTTAAAGAGGACCACGTATGAGCTGCTCCACAGTAACCACACATGTGCACGCTCTTATCCACCAGTAAGCAGAAACTAAGCTATAATATCTTAGCCCTCAATGAAACAGGATTGAACTACTATAGGTTGGCTTCCAGTTACAAAAAGGTAAGAATATGTCCATAAATAATTACTACAGAGAAGCTGACAGGCTGTAAAACTCTGCTCCTTTTGCCCAGTGTCAAGTTGTCTGTATGTCCATACCTTCACTGCCAATAGTGCTGTCACCCACGTATCTTGGTCCCTGGCCAGGATTGG